TGGAAGTACATAAAATCTCGGAGTAATAAAACTAGCTGGAATTAATCGTTTCTTCTCCTCTCTAATATTTCATTATATATAAGCAAAACCTAAACCTTTATTTAATACCTCCAACTGATTGTTATTAAGAACCACATCTGACGTATTCAATGTTTTAGGAAATTCCAAAGCCCTTTGATTATCTTCAGGTAATGTATCCAATTTGATTTGTTTATCTTCTTTCTTTTTGTCTTTTAATTTTCTCTATTTCTGGTCCAATTCATACTTATACTTCTCAGTGTCTCTCACTGTCCGATTTTCCCATTCAATCCAACATTCATCATCATTTTATTTTGCTGCCGCTAAATGTAGTTGATTTTCTTGTTTGGCTATAACACTTCTTTTCCGCTGAATCGTGATGTGTAGTATCTGTTGTTTAATTTTTTGTACACAATAGTCTACTTTTCTTCCTTTGATATTATATTTTACTTGTATAAACTTTGGAATAAGATTCTCTCTTTGACATCTCACCAAAAAAAATTAGTTGAGATATCAATCGTTTTAGTTTACTACTCTGTCTTGCAAACTTCTTCGCCGTGGGTCCCGTTTCTAGACTCATAATTATTGTGTTTTGGCACTTGATATTCTACCCTATATTTAAACCGATAAATAAGATGAATCAAATGTTAGGTACTACGAAAGACGAAATACAGTTAACTGAAAAAAACTGGAATATATAAAATATAATGTGAATGTGGAAGTATTTACATTGGTCAGACAAGACGTAATTTAAAATATCGCTTAAATGAGCATAAGGGATATGTAAGAAATAAAAAAACTGAAAATTCATCCATAGCAGAACATGTACAGGAAACACAACACACACAATATTATGGGAAAAAACTGTAATATTAGCTCAACCTAAAAGTGTAATAGGTAATAATATTCGTGAATCCTTAGAAATAATAAAACATAAGAAAAGATCATGTAGTATTAAATAGAGATGAAGGTTTGGCGAATATTTCTGCAAGAATGTGGGTTGATCTCCTTTGAATGGTTTAGCGTGGATTTATGTAAAATAGCATACAGGTCACATGACCTACTAAAAAGTTATAAGTACTTTAGCTTTGTCTTGTAATTCACTTCTGAGGATGACGTTGCAACGTCGAAACATGTAGAGTCGTCAATATTTTGAAGATCATAGATAGGCCTAAATAATTTTTTTTTAATTGTGTGCTAATTTTAACGTTAAATATTATTTATGATTTTATATGAATGTTTCTATAAACCCATAAAAACGTGGAGAGCAAAACGTGAAAAATCGCATTTCATAAACTTTACTGTGACTAAAGTAGAGGATACCTGTGTTCCCTTTTCGAGTGTCAAACAATATCTGCAACAAAGCTATAGACATAGCCTTCTAGTGTTCAGTTTTAATATGCAATGCAAGTAACTTGCTTATCTATAAACGGGGCCAGCATGACCAGGTGGTTACGGCGCTCGACTCGCAAACTGAGGGTCGCAGGTTCGAATCCCCGTCCCGCCAAACATGCTCGATCTTTCAGGCGTGGTGGCGTTATAATGTGACGGTCAATTTGTTGGTAAAAGAGTAGCTTAAGAGTTAGCGGTGGGTGGTGATGGCTAGCTGCCTTCCATCTAGACTTACACTGCTAAATTAAGAACGGCTAGCGCAGATAACCCTCGTGTAGCTTTGCGCGAAATTAAAAACAAACAATCTATAAACGGTAATGAAACAAAATAATATTCGCATAATTTAAACATTCATTTTTCTTTACTTATAACAGTTCGTCTGATGAAAGTCCATTCTGATTATTAGACATAAGACGTGGTTTTATCACAATCTGGCTATTTCTAGAAGTCTACCTATTATCTACACCCATGCAAGAATGTAAATAAAAATCATCGTATGTTGTTTCTTATCAGCGATGAACCTCGAACTGCGAGTATGTTATCATTTCAAAACATATTTCAAAAGTTGCAATAAAATATGAAATAATCAACGCTGATTGGACAATATAGATAAGAGTGAAGAAGCTGTATCTTATGTATAGAAGCTAACCCTCAGAGACAGGTGTATACAGAGGACTAAGTACGTTATATTAAAATGATTTTGAATATGCAAATAAACGTAATAAACACAGCCGAAACTAGAGGGATAGTCAGTAGAGCGCATAATGTTATCCTTACTAACTAAAAAAGCAAGAAACAGTATGCATTTGCACACCACAAGGCCACTAACACTAGAACAGCGCGTGAGATATTATAAGATTCCAAATACAAAATGTCATCGATATCAAAGTAGTAGATTCCATTAATACTGAAGCAATGCATAAGATGATGTAGACCTATAAAAATCAAATGTCTTCGATTCTCAAAAAATACGAAAATGTGTCCGTCATTATCAACAGACACGGACCATTTTCGGCAGGACAATGAAGAATAATATTCTATAATATATGTCCACCAAGTTTTACCAAAATTTGACTGATTTATAGAGCAAATATAAAATGATAAATCGGTCCCCATGTTAACAGATAGGAATTTTTTTGGATTTTCATAACCTTGCTGAAACCTTGACCCTCGAGAAACTAATCACTTCTAAGTTGGGTCATAGTCCAAATGTATACCAAATTTCGTCCATATTTATTTAGTCATTTTCGAGAAATCTTGCTGACAAACACACACAGGGGTGAAAACACAATCTCCGTCCACTTTCGGTGGTGAAGGTAATAAGCCCCCCCCCCTCTCACTGGCACAGTGGTATTTCTGCGGACGTATAGTGCTAGAAACCGGGTTTCGATACCCGTTGTGGGCAGAGCACAGATGGCTTTGTGCTTAATAACAACCCCCCAGTGGCACAGCGGTATGTCTGCGGACTTACAACGCTAGAAGGTGCAAAGTTTTCAGATAGCGCATGACCAGACAGGAAAGCACGAACTGTAACAACGTGCTGAGTCTCCAAAATCGTCTTTATATAGCATACTAAACCTCTGTACTATATAGAGATATTAGCTTGTATATGAACTAATTACCTTGGATTGTTTATGATACTCGAACATGAGTTTTGGCGGGGGGTACGTTGGCTAGACTAACAGCTCAAAATAAGAGAAAGATAGCGCAAACAATTAACAATACTTTCCGCCAACTCTTGGCCTACTTTAATTCAAGAATGGGATTTTACCGTTACTCTTATAAAGCACCCATTGTCCCAGAGTTTGGTGTGCGATTTGTTTTGGGGCAACAGGATGCGAACCGTGGACCCTCAGACCTACACTCTCACATGCTAACCACTAGGACACGCTCAGCTTGCGATAACCAGAATTTAAGAAACTAAATGAAATTTGAATTTAAAAAATATATACACATATATGATTTATGAACTACTTTTGGAAAATAGCGCCAACACAAAACTTGGAAGAGACGAAGCAAAAAGTACGGAAAAACATCTTTTCCGAATGCCCCTCAGTGGCACAACGGATGTCTTTGGATTTACAACGCTAGAAACCGGTTTTCATTACCCGTGGTGGGCGGAGTACAGATAGCCCATTGTGCAGCTTTGTGCTTAATTACAAAAAAAATTCCGAAGAAATTAATTATTCTAACATTTTAATCCATCGGTTGCCAAAAACAATTTTACTGGTTTTGTTTGTTTTAAATTTCGCGCAAAGCTACACGAGGGCTAGCCGTCCCTAATTTAGCAGTGAAAGACTAGAGGGAAGTAGCCCAATAGTTGGTGGTGGGTGGTGGTGACCACCACCACCTACCGCCAACTCTTGGGCTACTCTTTTACCAGTGAATAGTGGGATTGACCGTCACATTATAACCCCCCACGGCTGAAAGGGCAAGCATGTTTGGTGTGACAGGGATTCGAACCCGCGACCTTCAGATTGCGAGTCGAGCGCCCTAACCACCTGGCCATGTCGGGCCGCTTTTTTATTTTTATTTTATTATTTGAACTTCACGAAAACTTTCTAAAATAGTTAATTCACTTCCAGGTAAGATAGCCCTAGGGTATGAGAAAATTGATTTTTATCTGGGCGGGGATGGATAAGCCAGTTATAACAAGGTCACTTAGTAAGTGACCTGTCCATGCCGGGCCCTCAATTTTACTGTCGGTCGGTTTTATAATGCTGTTCCACACATCAATACGTCATCACTTAAGTGCGTGTTTTATGAGAACGTACAGAGGTTCCAGCATCACCACACATCCTGAAAAGAAAATATTTGTCTTTTGTATTGTGTTTTGATTTTATAGATTTTCTCTTTTGGCAGTTATTTCTAATTTGGTTATTATTCCTATATAAATGGGTGCAAAAATCTTCCTGGTAAGGATTAACAGAGGGTTTTGCAGAAATCCTGAGTCAGGGGTGTACAATATTGGAAACCAAACAACCACAAGCACAACTGGCAGCTACTTCGGTCGTATACAAGTCTCTATAGTGGAGAGGTTATGGTCATGCTGTCAAACACTGCATAATGCATAGCCTGGACACAATCGGAAGCACAGTTATGATCCACATTATGACTGTTCTATACATAAAAGTCCCAGTAGAAATCGTCAGTCCACCTGGACACAAACGAAAGAACAGTTATGCTCCATGTTATATAACTGCTATATACACAAAATCGTCAGTCCACTGATTAGCATGGACAGCAGCAGGAGTAATTATTGGTGATCAAAGAATAAGAAGCAGACTCCATGAGAACGACTTTAGACCCATTGCTAAGTACAGTGTTTGTTTTGAAGAGGGTCATCTCTAAAAACCCACAGGAGAATGATAATCCTCAGTGGTACATCAATGAAGAAGACTATTTTGGTAGAGAATCTATTTCTGTTGGTATCTTTATTTGTCTTCCTCCAGTCATGGAGATAGTAGAACCAAACACGGCAGGTAGACTCGGATTGAATAGTGGTCGTCTTTATTTATTTGGTGTAGTACCACTACCCTTATTTAATTGGGTACCAAGGAGCTAAAATCCGTCCGGAAGGTTATATAGGTATGATAGAGGTCTATTAGCAGGTTTTTGGATTCATTGAGCTCAAAGCTAGCATTGGATATTTTGTTCCTGGCTCTCATTTTTTTGAAACTTTCTTCATATCTCAACTTACACGCTCCCGAGAAAAAAACGTGGTTAACGTCTTGAGATACCAGGAACGAGGTGTATTTTGGGTAAGGATCCCCTTGGAGTAGCTATAGAAGTAATTGCGTATGTATGAAGGAACTTCATCGGTAAATGGTGGCCACTGTGAATCACTAAGGGGCCAATGAACTCCGTAGCGGAGCGCAGGTATTTTATGCTAGGTAATATAAATGAACGTACATATCTTACTGTTCTTCAGAAGCGCATATTTATCACTTGACATTATGTTGAGGTGTAATTGGAATCAACTGTACGACCTTATTAAATTTTAATCAGACTATATCCTGTTCTGGTGTATGATAATGCTTAGGGTCATATTGCCAAAATTGCTGCTTACATTGAAGAACAAATTATGAAGAGACCTGATCTAAATTTCATATTACACCTCTGGTTCATATATTTTAACCCAAAACGGTACACCACTGAACTTAGCGTTACACTAAGTAATACAAAAGCTAATCTATAATGTCATTTGCTTATTGTCAAGCAGATGCAAAGGTTGTATTAATACTTGTTACTGGGCATCTCATTTTGCCAAGCACGTCCTTTTATTAAGGCTGAATCAATCAGAATTTAACTCTGACCCTGTGAAATTAAAGTATACTTTTTTCCACGACTTACAACCAACAATACCCTGTATAATAAGCCTCCCAGTTGCAGAGCGGTATGTCTGTAGACTTATACTGCTAGAAACCTGGTTTCGATACCCGTGGTGGGCAGAGCACAGATAACCCTTTGTGTAGCTTTGTGCTTAATGACAAACAACAACAGTTAATAAATGTTGCTTTGTACTTCAGCTGCGTTGTTAATTTAGTTAAAGAACAACTTAATAATTAAATAGTTTATTTTGTAGTATAATGCATAGTATAAATAAATTGCATGGAGTGGTGGTGGTGAATTGGGGTTTTCTGGCGCAAAGTAACAGGGCTATCTGCGCCAATTTCATGGATACTGAGATAAGATATAATTTGAGGCGTTAAAAACCTGTAATAAGTTATTAGTTAGGTGTACTTAACGTAAAGACTATTACAGTATAAAATGATCCCAGACATTTAGGTTGTACATAAATTGTGTCATTATATTTTTGCCAAATGAGTGACCTGCTGGTTAGGTCGCTCGACTCGCTATCTGTCTTTCAACCGTAGGGGCGTTATAATGTGACGGTCAGTCGAACTATTCTCTGGTAAATGAATAGCTCAAGAGTTGGAGGCTAGTGGTGTTTCCTATCTGCCTTCTCTCTAATTTATCTCTAACAAATCAGGGACGGCTAGCCCAGATAGCCATAGAGTAGCTTTGCACAAAATTCGAAACAAAACAAGCCAAACCAAATGAATATAAACAATTTTTTTCTGAGAAAAACTTTTTAAGTATTGTTTGTTTGTAGTTAAACATAGTCCGCAGACATACTGCTGAGCCACTGGAGGACAAAACTTTCTAAAGAAGTAACACAAAATAAGCTCGAAAACTTTAAACAGCTACGACTGTTTTAAGAAATCGTTATAAGTAATAAACACAAGATACATTTATGAGAAAAAAATAGTCCAATGATGTGAAAAATCTGCAAAAGGGAAAAAACAGTCTTTCTAATTTAAATTGTAAATGTGTTAAAATATTTTTGATTCTCATAATTAACAGTAACAACAAAAACTTACACTGTATTCAATCTTCCTTTCTCCCACTTACTGCAGTCCTATTATTTTCTACTCCATTAAAATATTTTTGATTCCCATAATTAACAGTAACAACAAAAACTTACACTGTATTCAATCTTCCTTTCTCCCACTTACTGCAGTCCTATTATTTTCTACTCCATTAAAATATTTTTGATTCTCATAATTAACAGTAACAACAAAAACTTACACTATATTCAATCTTCCTTTCTCCAACTTACTGCAGTCCTATTATTTTCTACTCCATTCATGGTCCGTTAGGCTCAAATATCATACAAAGTTTATTAATTGTTATAATCTTCACGTTACTTTCATACAGATATGTGCAGTAGTTGTTAACATATTTATTACTAATAATTTCTATTTTTACCCCAAAGATTCTCATTACAATTAAATAAACAAAATAAATGTAAATATTCAAAACCACAAGGAATTGATTGGTTTTTCAAGTTGAAAGCATAATAGTTAAACCATAAGAATTAGTTATTGATATTACTGCGTTTATTATAAGCTAATGTTATAAAAAAGCTGTTTGTTTTTAACTTTAGGATTTATACTAACAAGAGCCTAATTATAATGAAATCATATGATATCGTTTATATTTTTCTCGAGAGGAGAGAGCAGGACTTCTAAATACTATGTTAAAATTATTCGTTATTATCATATTGAATGACTTGTATTATTACAAAACCTAAATCTATGTAATTAGGACTATTTAAGTTGTCTTGTAACAAAATATTTGTCAAAAATGAATAACTTCTATAATTATGTCATTATTCTATTTACATTTGTTTTAATTTCTTCAATATTGCTGGTTTTCACGCATTTTTATTTCAGGGAAGTGTTGATATATTTCCTATTTCCCTTAACGCACAAGTTTTATTAAACGTTTCACGTTATTGTTTCTTTAGAATTGACTTTATGGTTTTTTTGCATTCAGGAGCCTAATCTCCTTTAGAAATTTGAAATCCATATAAAACTGAACCTCAAATTATTATTGGTTACGGAAAGCTAAATGCAGAGCAAACCAATGCAAGTATAATCATTAATCAGCAAATATGAGGGAAAATAATGGAAGGTGAATTCTTGTTTTCTATCACGCTGCGAGAAAATCATGTAAGATCTCTAGAGTAAAAAATATATAAAGAATAACGAGAAGACTTGCTTATATATCCTACTTGAACCAATTAAAATTTTTCATTACAAATAAAATTAAACCAAATGTTAAATGGATAATAAAAGTCTGAAATACCTTCGAATGTTATCCAGAGGCAATTACTGTCGAAAGTTAACGTAGAGAGTAGGATACAAAGTAATGACAAAATTACCAGAATTTGCAAAACTTACGCGTATAACTCGGTTAGGATTGGTGACTGTTACAATCGCCTGGTTACATCATATGATTTAAAGTACTCCGAATGTTATCCAGAGGCAATTACTGTTGAAAGTTAACGTAGAGAGTAGGATACAAAATAATGACAAAATTACCAGAATTTGCAAAACTTACGCGTATAAATCGGTTAGGATTGGTGATTGTTACAATCGCCTGGTTACATCATGTTCATATTATTTAAAGTACTCCTGCTGAAACCACCATACTAATTACTATAGAAGTCTAAGAGGGTCTCTAATAAGCTGTTCTTTGTCTTAAGATCAACTTATCAGTGTAAACTAGAACAATCGTCAGTCTTCTATTCTACACTAGAAAATACCTTATAAAGGGCGCAGTAAGGTATGCTATAATCAACATGATGATAAAATGGCGTTTACCTTATCAAACATATATTTCCCTACAGATGGAGCTCAATCTTAATTTGTAATTATACCTTATTGAAATATCCAGTCCAAAATTAAGTTTTCCATGAACTCATCTCATTTGACGATATTATTTTGCACAAGGCAATAATGTGAATAAGATATAGCTAATTTGGTTTAATTTAAAAAGATTAATCACCTGCCAATCTTGCTTTGTTTGCCTCAACGATTTCAAGTAGCGCACAGCTACACGAGGGCTGTCTGCGTAAGCTGTCCCTAATTTAGCAGCGAAAGACTAGAGGGAAGTCAACTAGTCATCTTCACCAACCATAAAATCTTGGGCTGCTCTTTTTTGCCGTCACATTCTAACGCCCTCACGACTGAAAGGGTAAACTTGTTTTGGAGGGACGGGGATTCGAACCCGCAACTCTCAGATTGAGAGTTCAACGCCCTAACCATATGGCCATGCTAAGCCCGCCTGTTTGGAGCTGTGGAACTAACACAAGAGGTTATCTGTTAAAGGAGGACTGAATCCCTGATATTTTTCTACATTTATGGACGATCTGATATCCAGCTTCTTATTGGAATGGGCATCAGTATGATGAGCAAAGTGGAAGTAGCCGAGGTTAACAGTATTGTTAAGGTTGTAGCCTTTGTGCCACATCTGAAAGCAGGTTCAGAGATATCAAATTATCTGAAATTGTTAAATATTGCACATGTAATCTAGGTTCAACACAGTGACAGCAATGCAGTGATTTGTTGGTTGAATATGTCATTGTATTATTGGAACCAGATGTCTGATTAGGTCGAATAACAGACACACAGTATTACATAGATTCAAATGACACACAAGCAATTAAGCAACTGCTGTAGATACCTCTTTGCTGTGCTAAAGATGTAGCCAGTAATGAAGTATAATGGATGTTAAAGCACGAGATTATATAGTCTTCAAAGAGTGTTTGTTCATCTTTTGTAATGATTGTCAAAATTAAGGAAGGTACACCAAGATTCTTCTTTGATTTTAGATAGGTGAACATGGTAACTCGAATCACTGCCAACTATTACCACAAACAGTTGATGCCTAGATGCTTGGAATGGGCTTAATGTTTCATTACATAGCCCAAGCATCTGGATACTGTCAAGTCGAAATGGGTGATTAGAGGAGACCTAAGACTGTTTTCAGTACGAGAGATGACACGAATGTGTTCCTTGTTATGATATATACATAGCTTTTACAATGCACCCACTAGTTCTGATTGGTTACTTGAGTTTACACGAAAGGGGTTATAATGGGAGAAGTGCTTGATCTACGTAGACGACGTCATAGTGTTTGATTGCATGTTCAACTTTGCAGCCAAGAGCTAGAAAATGGTAAAAGTGTCAGGCTTGAAACAGAAATTGGAAAAATGTGTTCATGCTAATCAAAATGTAATTTCCTGGTCATAACATAAGAAGTGGTTGAGTCTCTATGGATTTTGCTAAAATAGCAGCAATACAAGATTGTCCTTAACCTGTAGCCAACCAGAAGTTGAAAATTTCCCCTGTTTCCCCTTGTTATTATTAATGGTTTGCATATTAGTTTCCTCAGTTCACTTCTCTCATGGTACTATAAACTGCATAATACCAGCAATATTTTTTGCAAGGGGTCAGACAACAACTTGAAATCTCACAGTAATTCTGATTATTGCCTCTGGTAAAGTTCTCTGTCCACTTGCCATTTTGTTTCTCGTTCAACACAACACTCACTAACCAACTTTCTCATTGCTACTTGAAAATGAACTTCTATCGCTTGAGTGCCCTCGTTTACCAAGAGTGTCCTAATACCATTGATAACTCTGCTGCCTTGGAGACTTCATGACTTCTTTAATAGTCTCCACCAAAACTATGTAACTCCTGGTTGTGTCACCTCGTGTAATGTCCATAATGAAGTGCATCTGAACAAGCAGACAATGAATGTTCCAGAGTACTCACAAGAGATTAATATTCTGAGCATAGGTGGCCGGATTACGGATGTGTGTGTAAAGGGGAGTAATTGCCTCTCACTTTTTTCTGTTGGATATAGTAATAATAATTAAGTCAGGCTTTATTCCCCCCTTCCCCCTATATATAGGTCACAAATCTCGCATATGAACCCGAGTGTTGGCCAGAATCTGACATTTCTCAATTATTTTTGTTTGCTAAGGTCAAAATCGTTTGTAAAAGCTGATAATTAAGAATCTTCTGGCACTGGAGATGATTGACCCCGTTTGAATCAGAGTAGAACTCGAAATGTTGTCTCAGGAAAATATTAATTCTCTAAGCAGGGGGAGTTCATAAAAATGACTACAATTTGATTTGCATGTAATATATTGTGTACAAAGGAATTTCACAGAGAAGCAATACCTTATTTTATGTAAAATTAAAATGTTTTATATAATGCATGAAACTGAAATACATCATATTAATACACTGTTAATCTATCAGTGGGATCTAACTTGGATGTTAATGTTACACATTAAAAGCAACTGAAGCATTAAATGAAACCACATATCCCACATTATTCAATAAGGTAAGAAGTACTTTAAAGCAATATCAGATACGTAACATTCGCGTCAGCTAAAATATTAACTGCAATCATGATTCTGAACACAAAGGAACCAAAGACATTTTTTTAAGATCATTTTACTAGTAAAACCATATATTTATTTTTTTTATAAGTACATCAGTTATGGGTGATATAAAAGATATACCTGGAGAAGTGTTTTCACAGATTATTTTAGCGAATTCTGTGACCTCATAAATAATTCTATATAGGTATTTTCTTTATAAAATTTATTGTTTTAAGATAAGCAAAAGTCTTAAAAATGAAGTTAATGACACTAATAATTGTTGTAAAAGCGCCCTCTATAGAAAGTATGAAACAAAGGAAATGCTTCAACTTTAGACAAAAAATAAATAACTGGGTACAGTAAATTAGTGAGACCTAGAATATGGCTATTAGAGGATGCATATCATGTCTACCGAAGATAATTCAAGTGGCAAGCCCAATTGGCATGACACAATGACAACAGTGTTATTTAGACATGCATGGAAAGCTGCTTTGACCCTTAAGATATTACTTCCGGTCTAGCGGCTCTTCCGTCACTTTCTTCAAGTCAGGGTGAATGAAAATGAAAAGCACTGATTCAGTGGGATTGTAAAAGAAAAAACCAGAATTAACTCAGTTGTCAGATATACTCTTTTCTGTAACATAAGGATAAAACAAGTAAAAAACGATGAATTCAGATCTACTTAATTCGTTTAATATGTTAAAATTAATCAGAAGGCCTCTTCTTTCTTCTTTCTTGTTTTAAAGTTCATAAATAAGAAACATATTTCAACTAAGTATTAACTTAGCTTAAGGTTATATGATTATCGTGTAGGATCGGCTGTTCATTTCGAAAACAAAAAAAAGAATCACTTAACGTGCATAGCCTTCCAAACAATAAGTGTGTGTTTGTTACATTGCAGTTAAATAATCTTTATAATGTATTAGTAAGAAGTTGTCTAATTAGTCAAGACGATACGGAAAACTACGTTGAATGAACCTAAAGAATTATGAAAACTAAAGTGCTTGAATGTACGATGACTGGTGAGTCAAAGGGAATTTTATGGACAACTATAAAAACCGGGGCTCGATTCCCCGCGGTGGACAGAGTACAGATAACTAATTGTGTAGCTTTGCACGATGGAAACAACAACAGAAATGTAATACTTGTTTTAAAATACATGTATTTACGTACTCTAAAACACTTATTTATGAAATACATTCTATGAACTTATGAGTGAAAGCAAAGAAGAATATGTATTAACATGTCAACCACATTATATTTGCCATATCATTACACAATGGCGGCAGACCAGCACGTACCACGTTTTGTAACTATAACGAGAGTGACAAAATATTTTTGAAATAAATTTGTTAATCAACATTTTCCTGTACTGGCGTATCTGTCAAAAGAGATACAAAATGCTCTGTTATTTTCATATTTAATTTATAAAGCTACAGATAATAATTAATCCAGAAAATCAAGTGGCATAAAAATGTCAAAAACATTTAACTTAACAGCTGTACACGAACAGTTTGGTCATGTCCGATCACCCTTCTAAAACGTATGCATTAGACATTTCCTCTTGACGAAAGTTGGGGAAAAATGGACCTTGTATAGGCTTCTTCCGCGCACCATCTGGCCCCTCATTTTGCACCTCTGGTTTAAAGTTATGTTTCGTACCTAAATAGCACTACGTTAACTTTTTCTTTGAGATATTTATTTCTAATTCTGTTAAATGTATACCAAACCGGTACAATAGTTTCTTGTAGGTACATTGTTTTGCATTGTTTCTACCTGCTTTCGAACCAGAACGTTAACTTTTACGAGCCTTGCGTTCTAAAATAAAGCAGCTTCAAAACACTGAGTTAACCACTTCTTTAGAAAATTGACTTGCGAGTTTTTTCGTGCATATAGAGCAGTTCATTAACTTGTTTTTTATCTAGTTTATATCATATGTCTCTTAAAATGTAATTAGAAGTTTTATAAAATCGAATTCATTAATAAGTTTCATCGGTTTTACCTTATAAGGTAATGTTTGAGAAAGCAACTTCTATTTAATTTTGAAAGTATAATCATGATGAATTTAATCGTAAATGGTGAATTTATAAATATAAACTATATTTTATCTAATGAAAAAACAACGACAACTCGTTTTGTAATTGTAGATATAAAGGAGAATAATTTTCTATAAATAGGTCACTCGTCACGCACAAGAAGGATTATCAGCGACCTCTGTAGGATATAAATGCACAACATATATTTGCAAAATATTCCCAAGATCTCCCACAAATTTATCAAATCAAAACAGTTTTATGTCTCTACATTACAGTGTGACCTTGTGGGATTTAATGCCATTGTAAAATCAGGTAAGTACCTAATACAGGAACTATGTTTTATGAACAGTTTGCGTGATGAGAAT